ACCCTCCCTTACACCCCACAAACCTCATACACCCATACCATACCCCCATAACCCCCACTGACATATAAACACACTCCAGCATACCCTCTGCTTCCCCGCATACAGCCACACCCCCTCACAGCCCCCCCCACATCCTCCATGCACAATATAAAAGAGTGAGACTTTATTTTTGAATTATTATGCAATCTCTTCTATATAAAGTACAAAAACACAAATCACAACAAATAATTTTTGTAATAATTAAAATATGTTTTAGTAGGTGTTTGACTTTTAGTTTATGATTTGTTTTTTGTTTTTTTCCTGCTTCTAAGATGGCAACCCCCTCTCCCAAAAGGAGTATTTCTGGGTAGCAAGGGGATGGCCTTCTGGTGGCAAAGGTTAGGGGTTGGGGGGGCGGGACTTCCAGTGCCAACAATATGGTGGGGGGGAGGGCAGCTGTCAAGGGGCGGACTACCCATGCGGCCCTCAACAGCTCACCAAAACTCTTAAGTGCCCGTCCAGCTGGAATAATTGCCTTCCCCTGGTCTAAAGACTGCTGACATTCATATTTACGCACAACAAGTATTGGACATGGGGAGAGTTGGCCAAAAACCTATGGCTGAACTCTTCCTGGTTGGTGAAAGAGAATTGCCAGCAATTGGTGCCTCTCCTGACTAAAATAGCCAATGTTGCATTTAAAGTCTGTTGTATGCTTCAGTACTGATTGGACTGCATGTACACTCTCGACACCTGTGTGAGACTCATTATTGCCCAGTACTAAGTCTCCTCTTCCTGAGAGAGGTCACGAAGAAGGCATTCAGAAGTCACACTGCTCATCTTGCTAGCTACAAGAAGTATCCCAGGTTGAGGATTCTGCAAAATCTGGATTTAGGGCAAGGCTTTAAATGTAAACAGCAGTTGTGGTCTTGATGGATGATCTCTCAATACGAGCAGATGGAGGACAGCCATGCTGCTGGATCCTTCTGTGACATTTGACACAATTAATGTGTGGATCTGGTCTTCTGTCTGAGGCAAGTGGTCTCGTCTAAATGATTTTTGGATGGATGCACCTAAAAGTTGATGATGCTCTTGGGCCATAAAACTCTCCTAGCTTGCAGAGTCCAATACTGATTTGCATATATAGGCAGCTGTCTAAGGAAAACTAGTGATATGACAATATGCAGGTGACTTTTCCCATGCTTTATAATAGAAGATAATACTGTCAAAAATGTGGGCCAGTTCTTAGATGGGTTTGGTAATGGATGAGAAACAGGCAGTTGAAGTTGCACCTTAGTAATATGGAGCTACTGTTCTATGCTTGCTGGCAGTAGAAAGTACTTCCCAACCATAGTGCAGTGTGCTAGGGAAAGGTGTGTACCTCAAAATAGCCAATTCAGTTTATAGTCTGGAAGTGCTTGTGGATTCTCTGTTCATGCTAGTACTGCATTAGGTGGTTTTGGAGCTACTATCTGCTGCCATCTACTACTGCAGTCTATTCTAGCAGCTAAGAATCTGACCTCAGTTAAATGTTCTTTGTTTTTCTCCCTGACTGGGTTATAGCTATGATATCTTTCTGGCCATGTACATGAAGTGGCAGCCTCTTCCTTCAGGGACAGAGGTATTGAAAAAAACTCATCAGACTTTATCCTTAATTCTGTATACTAGGTCTCTGTGAAGTGTCATAAGCAGGGCTTGGTTATACAGCTTATTATAAAAGTTATTTTACGGTTACCTTTATATAACATCTTGTTTCAGTTCCTTTCAAGTTTGACATACCTTAACCCTTGGGGTTGAAGTTTCAGCTGGAGACAGACACTTGGTATGGAATTTAATTTGAAAGATTTCAACTAAAAGTGTTCAGCACTTTCAGAGTTTTGAGTCTAATAAAAAATACATGATGTTACCTATGTTAAAGTTTGAAAAACTCTGGCATTTCATGTTTTGGACTAGGGACTGTGAAATTTACTAGATATTACTGACATCATCAACATACCTTTGCTGTACCTGTGAAAATCTCCCTGAATGATAAGTCTTTGAAAAGTTGCAGCTTGCATATGCTCATTAGTAAAGCATTAGTAGAGCATCTAAAAATGTTAAAGATTCCATCCACGTTGAGCATGCCCTAGCCTGGGATGGAGTTAGATTGTCTCTGCAGGTGTAGCTCTGGGCTGCTGTGTAGTGTGCTGGGGTCAGTCACCTGAATTGAGTGGATGAACCTGGGTTCCAAACGTCTGTCTCCCCTGGGTTCTCAGTTTTCCCATGAGGTGATGCTCGAGCAGCATATGAGTGGAAGCTGCAACTGCAGAAGGGATGAGCTAGAACTGTGCATGGAGGTTGGAAATATTGAAGTGCAGAACTGGAAAACAGGGAGGAAAAACAGGTGGAGGACTGGGACCCACTGGAGGGGACAGGAGAGGAGATTAAGATTGTACCTGAGCTCAGATGAAGAGCTGCCAGACACTGTGTAGTAAGACTGGCATTGGGAACTAGTGGGTTGTATGTGCCACTTGTTTAGGATGGAGCCTCCTTGGTAGCCAGTCTCAGACTGTGAAACACATTCTTAAAAGAATTAAGCACCATCATGCATTGATCTGCATCCGAGTGTAAGACATGCTACTTCTAGTTTCTTTTGCTAGTGTAAGCACATGTTACAGAGTACATATTACAGTTGAAATATAGAAATAAAATGCAGAATTTTTCCCTAGGGAGAGGAAAGAACCACCTGACAGATGATAGCCATGATGCTTTAATACACTTTTAGGAAAGCTCTCAGTTACTGTAGTAATCTCAGTTATGCAGTAATCTACTGTAGCTCTACAAGAAACTGAATGAAAAAGAAGGATTTTGAAGGAGAAAATGATGGGGTCTTGATGGCATAGAGTTACAAGACTGTTTCATGTATGCAGATACCCTGGAAGAATGAACAGAGGGAGGAGTGTGAGAAAATACCCAAGAGAACTAATATTAGTCGCATCTTGTTCATAAAATAAATGTTGCAGGGTCTTTATCCAGACATACTGGCCGATTCTACTGGTGAATGCAATTAATACCCTTTTTTTTATAACCTTTTAGCTAGTTGTTTTGATATACAAACTTGGAATTTATGGACTGTTTCCTTGTAGAGAATATGTAACATCTAATACGGGCAAATTTTATTCTTTTTGTGCATGTGAAACCTAAACATCTGTTACTTCTTCATTTTAATTTCATTTTCTTGGAATGGGATATTTTGCTTTCTTAGTCCAATGCAGCACTTAGTTTTAAATGACTTACCATGATATTTGTATACACTTTGAACTTTTAAAAGGAAAGGAATAGCCTCGTCAGTTGCAGAACAAAAGGTTTGCCTGGGAAATGTCTAATGTGATAATGTGTAACTTTGAAACACTAGCCAATATTAAGACTATTAAAGATACCTGTAATATCTTCCAATTTCAGTTTCAGATGGCAGCAATGCAATTGGAGCTGAGGAGACCAATTTTGACCGCAGTTATGTAAAAAAGAAATTAGAACATGGACTTTCAAGAATATGGCAGGTTTGTTTTGAGTTGTCTACATATTTTTTTCACGAATAAAAGGCAGAATTATTATAGGATGTCTTTTATTAAAAATCATGCTACCTTTCTATTGTCTCTGATTATAAGGTGAGAAGAATAAATGGTTTCCATAATCCAGAAAATTCTTAGCCTCCATGCTTACAGGGTCAATAGAGGTAGTGATTTTTGTGATGGAGCCTGGTATGTAGTAACTGGCAGGCCAAGCCCAGCTAGTTTCTTTTGTGCCTTACAAAGAAGGAAAGTCTCCCCATGATCATATTTCAAGTATCCTGGCCTTTTGCACTCCAAATCAGTACAGTTCATTTCCAGCTCTGTTCTTTCTAATTTCATTTAGAAAAGGAAATGCTGAAGTGCAGGGCCATAGGAAGCACTTCTCTGGCATTTACAGTAGAGCCAGAATCAGAGAGGAGAAATCTTCTGTGCCTGCCAGTTGCCATTGTGTTCCCAGCCTAAAATAGTTTGGATAAAGGTCCCAAATCTTGTGTTAGAACTTTGAAGCTTCTGCGGCTCATAACATCAACAATAAGTCAAAGACATTCTTTATAACCACTGGGCATGACAATCTTGGATTGTTCTTACATTGCTGGAAGTACCCAAAAGCATTTTTTGACTAGTGAATTAATCAGAGGTGAAGCAAAAGTCTGTGAGAAACCATATGTGCTAAAGAAAATAGTTTACAAACCATACTTCTCTAGAGGAATCTTTGCTCATCCTTGAATCTTTGTTCAAAAAAGTCAGACACCTGAACAAATAAACCAAAAAGACCTAATGAACGATGTGCTCAACTTTTTGCCATTCATTTTTAATACGGGCGTAGTTATAGTTTAAAAACTTACATTGGACGTATGTGAGAGGCAAGAATTCTTGTGGGTGATGTCTTTTTATTGGACTATCATGGCAGCAACATCATTTCAACACTACCAAAACAATGAACATACACATTTAACAGAGGTTCATTATTAACTTTGAAATATTTATGTCTTTTATAGGATGTTCAGCTGAAAGTGAAGACATATCTGCTAGGAACAGACCTGTCTAACTTCAAATATGATGATTTCATTTTTGTACTAGATATTATCAGCAGGTATATTGAAGAGATTATTTCAGTTGTATTTTGATTCAGTGACAAACTTGTGCTACAATTACAGTGTGTGATCATTTAAGAGTAGGACTTAGATCCTGGTGCTAATTTCCATCCATCCATGTACTGCTTTGGTGGAAAGTGGGAGGGGTATTTCAAGGCAGCCAGAAATTGAGGAAGCCCATGAACAGTTTAAGCTTGATATTTTTTTTTTTTTTCCCCCTGGCTGCTGGCCAGGCTCTGAGCTACTGAATATGCACTCCTGCTGCACCAGGACACCAGGTGATACTGCTGAGACCAGCACAGGTGATGGCCCCAGCCTCCTGTACTCCTACCTGGGACAGTTTGCTGCACGCTGAAGCACATGTGCAGGGTCTTCTGATGTGGCGCAAATCTGTGCTGCTGTTATTTGTGCCTCTGCAAGTGCTCATCCCTACATGTGGGGATGTGCCCTAAAGGCCACTGTCCTGCTTTAGAATTTCTGTATTGCCTCTTTACGTTTCTGGTACCTCTAAATGTCTGCTAAGGGACTTCCCCAATTACAGATGAGCCAAAAAGTGTGAAGTTCTCACGCTGTCTTCCATCATAGGGTTGTCTTCTGGCAGTGAAGCATGGGAAGATAAGATTTAGGACATGGTCCATAGTGCTATCATTCTGCTGCAGCATCCCAAGCAGACATTTGCATTTCTTGCAGCTGTTTGTCCCATGCATATGTTTTATTTAACATTATGATAGGCAGTGGACAAAGAAAGTGAACCTGGGCCACTTAAAGCCTTCTGCACAGTGGGTAGTGGTGACTCTCTTTTTTTTGGGGGGGGTCATTTGATGAATCTGGTTTCTAGGTAAGATGGCAAATTCCAGCTGAAACCACAGCTTTTGCATATTAGTAATTGTTAAAAATATTTGTGTGTCTAAGCATTGCTAAAATTCTTCCATTATTATAGGCTGATGCAAGTTGGAGAAGAATTTTGTGGAAGTAAGTCAGAAGTTTTGCAAGAATCTATTAGAAAACAAAGTGTTAACTACTTTAAAAATTATCACAGGTAAGACTGCTAAATGTTGGGTAGGTAAAAGTTTTTGTGGTTTTGAAGCATGTTTTCAGAGGCAATGGGTGGCCTGGCTCTGTTGAGGTTGACAGATTGGTTACATTTCCATCTAGTGAAGTAGTATATTTCATTTTCAATGGCGGGAAGGTGGAAGAGGGGTATTCTTTGCCTGTTATTACAGAGAACACCTCACTCGTGCTAAATTATGGAAGACGCTTCTAAGGGCAAGCTGCATAGACAGAGAACTTAAGTCTTGGAGTTTTGGTACCTCCTTAAACAGCCTCTGAAGCTACCCTGAAGACTTCTCCTTATCTTGTTTTTTTGAAGTTGCTGATCTCTTAAAGTCAAACTTATTTGCAAAGATAGTTATTGATTTTATTTATTGAACGATTTATTTATACCATTGAATAATAAGAGGTGGCTTTGAGCACCGCAGACTGTTTCTTTAAATTGTATAGTTATTCAGTTACTTAAACCAAGACCTTCAGAATTTTGTGTGTTTACACTTCAGGCACCAATTCCCAGCCTTCTCTTCACTGGCGATTTCTACTTACATTTTATTCAAGTCCACCTTGGACCCACTGCATGCAGATGTCACCTAATTTTTATGGCACTACATACTGTCAGCTTCAACACTTACTGGCCTTTTCTTTCGAAGTGAATCTGCCTTGATTTCCCCAATAAAAAGGTGTCAACTCTCCAAACCTCTTTTATTCTAGTGCTTTGGTGCTTTTCTTCTCTCTGTGCTTTAGGAAACAGGAAGATATGGGCTGAAAACAGATTCAAAATGCTATATGAAGAAAGCAAGGAAACCAGGGCTTTTGTAAATAATTAGATTCAATCTTCCTTTTACTAGATATGTTTCACTTGGGCCCAGTGTTAAAGCAACCCCCATTCAGTCTGACTTTTTACATGCAGTTTTCTTTGAGTAGAATTACAGGAGAACAAATATTTCAATAGAAATGTTTTTTGCTTACTTGTGCTTTAGACAACCATGGACTATTTCCTGCTGATTTTGAAAGTAGTACTTCTTGCTATTCTCATGCATATATGGCAAAGGTGTATTCCAAGCATTGTCCCTTTTTACAAATCTTAATGTATACAGTTTGGTTTTTTATTCTGTTTACTTCACAATACCCTTAACTCACAGGTAAGATTAATTAACTGATGTTTTTCCTCTTGACGATGAAAACTGCTGTGTAGGTTCTAAGTTAGTTTTTAAGGTTGATTTTTTTGTATAAGAGTTTTGTATTTCCAGATTAAGAAAATGTAGCTTCTGCTTTCTTTGCATATTTAATTGAAAAAAGCTTTTATCTTTTCACAGATGCATTAGTATATATTAGTATGCTTAACTGTTTGAAGAGTATGAGTTGTGCAGATTGGTATCTGAGGCTTCTTGGACACTTGATGTAGGTGGTACAGAATTGTATAGCAAGCTGGTAGAATAGAAAAGACAGTCAAGGACTTAGTCATGTAATTCAATAATATATTGAATACTGAGAACATATTGAGTATTTGGAGGGCAGGAGCTTAGAGGTTTATTTTGAAAAAATGAGGGCGTATTGGAGAGCAAGAGAGAGAGCCCAGAAAGGGGTCTTAGAATATACTTACTTTTTCTGAAATATTTTGTTGCAAGTAATAAGATTTTTTTTAAAGAGTGATCCTGTCTGACCTTGATTTGTGTTTTTGAGCCATTTTCAGAACTTGGGTACGCTGATGAAAATCAAAGAGCAGCTACTGAAGTACAATAAAATTAAAAATATTAAAGAAATATAGTTTACCAAATGAGAGAGAATGTTGGTCCATTGTTATTATTTAAATATTCAAACTTTTTTGCATTGTTCCTTCTACCTTCACCAAGATGGATTATAAGGGCTACTTCCTCTTGGTTCAGCCTTTCTGCCCGAAACCTTTCTAATCTGAGGTTCTGATTTTCAGAAGTGTTCAGCACCTATTAGTTCTTTTTGACTGCAGAGAAGAAACAGTAACTGCACCCCTGAAAATCATCCCGCAATCTATGGTTGAACAGAATGAAGATAATCAGATGTAGCCAGCTGCATAATTTAGCACATGTTGCTCATCTCACTGAGCCAAAAATCGATTAATTGTACCTGTAATTACAGTTTGTTACAAAAATGTTGTGATGATACTTCTGGAATGTTTTATAGCCTAATTAGGAACAAAATATATAATTTACCAACTGCTACAGTGCATTCTCTTGTTCCAAGTGTGTGTTTAAAAAAAAAAAAAAAAAAGTATGGAGGTGCCCCAAGTGATTGTTTGCTGCTGAGACTTCTTTTTAGCAAGAACTTGGCCAATGTAACTCCGAATCCAGCAGTATTTCTGCTTAATAGTTAAATGGAAAGCTGTTCTGTTGATTCAACAATGCAAATGTAGTGAACTAGTGTTTTGATCAGACTGTCCCTATAATTGTGCTTTTTATTAGGGGCAGACAAAATTTATTGAGCAGTGTAAGTAACATAGCTGATTAGTTGCCTTTCAGTATTTGTTTCTGTGAAAAACATGATTTATGAAGTGCATGTTTAATTTTTTTCAGTTTTCCTACACTATTTGTGGGTCTCATTGCTTTCTGCTAAAATAAATATTGGGCAGGGTCATATTAATTGTTTGGTATTTAAAAGTTACTGCTTTTTATTGATATTTTTAAATAGTATCTGATCATATTGCCTTCTATCATCTGCAGCCTACAGAGGGCAAACCCCATTATGTTACAAAACAATCATAAATGTTTTAATATAGTATCTTTAGTGGCTATTAATTATCAACTATGGCCCTCTGCTCTTGCTGACAATTGGTTGGTATTGATTGGTTTTATTTCAGAACCCGTCTTGAAGAACTTCGAATGTTCTTGGAGAATGAGACCTGGGAGCTTTGTCCTGTTAAGGCAAGCTTTAGTATTTTACAGCTTCATGTAAGTACTACCATCAGCTTTTCAAACCTTCTCTCTGCAGTAAGTTTAGGCTGGCTGAGAAAGTGGAGGGATATATAAACTGTTGTATAGGATTTGTTTTTGTGGGGGGGTGGGGGAGCGGACAGTTGGGTTAACTTTACAGAAGAATTGAAGTGAATCTTTTTTGAGGAGATGGTAAGCTATTCTAAAGCTTAGCAGTAAATTCATTAGAAAGGTAACATTTCTACTTTAGGCATAGGAAATTTTAGATTTCTTCATGTTAGCCTATATTTTATTTAGTATTTAATTACTGATTAAATGTTTAATTAATTATATTAATTACTGATTAAAATGTTAAAAGGATATTCAAGAAGAAAATGAATAGAACTGTTACTGAAGGAGAAAATGTGAATTAACTAAACTCAAATTATGAATTTCAGGCCAACAAGTTCAAAATAAATGCTTAAAGGTAGTCATCCAATAAATGGCCTGCTGTTCAGCACTTCTGCATTCTCAGTTGTTCCCATCAAATGTCAGTTTCTTTTGGCATACATTTTGCAGAACTGGGTTTCATGGTTCTGTTTCAAGAAAGCAGTAGTTGTTTAGTACTTTCCTGAATGAAGTACCATGGAAAGCAAGTGAAGAGGTTGTTTTTATGCATTACTGAACTGGGAACTATAGGTTAGATGCATAAAGGGACTGGGGATGAGGACATGTAGTGCTTTTGGACCTAAAATTTTGATACTGTGCCCCAGGAATGTAACTGACAAATGTGCTTTAGGTGGTTAAGTTCCCTATATTTTAAGTGGGGAAAATTGAGGCACCTAGCATTAGAATTCACAGCATTGCCCATGCTGAGCACAGGGATATGGACCCATCCCATAAGAAATTCTGTAGAAATGGGCAAGTCAGAAATCATGCCCTGCCAGACTTAAACAGCAGCTTTAGACCTCTTTGAAGCCCTAATTAGCTGCCCATGTGAAACGGGGATTCACTGGTTGAAACCTGGCCTAAGTTGTCTTGCCTTTGGGGATTGTGGCCATCTGTTGGAAACTGTGGGAGGGAAGGTAGGTAAATCACTTTCCTAGGAAATGAGACCTGCATTCTAGGCCCTTTTTTCATCTTGTAGATTTAAGCCCACATATCCCATTTCCTCAGGAAAGGGCACATCTACACGTGTTGATATAAGGCTCTTTAGCCATTTTTAAAGCGCATTAAGGGTGTGGGTCTATATGTGCATGCCCTTAATGCACCTTAAAAATGGCGATTTTAGGCTATTCGTGCCTGAATTTGATACCTGCAAAAGCAGGTATCAAATTTAGGCATGAATAGCTCAAGTGCCTTAATGCATGTGTAGACATGCTAAAGCACATTAACACTGTGTATATTGACTGATTTGGGACTAAGTTTAGTCCCAAGTCAGTATGCACACCATGTTAATGTGCCTTAGCACATGCACATGCGCATTAGGGAAATGCGCATTAAGTTTAGGTGCACATAAAAGCACATGTAGATGTTCCCAAAGTGTCTGAATGAGCAGCCTAAGGGTTTAGGGTGCTTTCTGCTCTTGTTGAAGCAGAATGACCATGCAGAAAAGAAGATCATGGGGCCTGCCTAGATGAAAGGTACATGCAGAAGCGCCTTTGGCACTAGGAACTAGGACATTTTCCTTCTCCGACGTGCCCTCTTCACCCAACACTCAATAGATTCCGTAGTCATGTTCCCTCTTGTTTCTGTTCCTCACTGGCCCCACGATTTTTGCATTCCCTTCTGGATAGGGGTCCAGGTTCAACAGGAGGGGTAGAGGTTGCTCTCAGCCAAACCTAGCCCTTAGTTTAGTGATTCTCAATCAGGGAAATGTGCTCATTTGGAATTGCCTACATAACTAGAGCTATTGTTACAAACAACACGTAAGATTTGTTATAGATGCATGAAGTCAGTGTTGGAGTGGAAAGGGGAGTAAGATTTTCCTGTTTGTACAGGATAGGTGTTTCTACTTATTTCCCTGCTTTGTACAGAAAAACAGAAGAGGAGTAGGAATCTTTAATAGAACAAGGGAAAGAAATGCATTTTAATAGAAAAATGTAACGGTAAAACTGTACAATGGGGGAACTCCAAAAAATCTGATGGGCCTGGAAATTATTCATTAGAATTTTTTTAAAAGAAATGACTAAATATGAAATCCCATTTGGTCAAAGCACTTTGATAATCTATTCCTTCCCAGCTAAATTAATTTGTGTACATTTTACCATTCAAAGAAAGATCAGTAGAGAGACTTTTTAATAACTAACATTTCTGGTGTTTTTGATTTAAAAGATGTAAGCCAGCCTTTTAAGAAAAATGATGTGTAGAGATAAAATTGTAAATCCTTATTTAAGTCCAATTTGTAAAAGTATCATATGTCCATGGAGCCCAATAAAACTGTAACTACTTCTTAACATCATGAAACTTACATGAGGCTATTACCAAAATTATTTTTATATTAATAATTAAAATATTCCTGATAGAGAATAATCTTGAACTATTTTATAGGCTGTCACTTGTGGGAATTTTGAAATATGTTCCTTCTATTCGGGTTATATTTGTACAGCTTGATATTTTGAGCCCGTTCTTCTTCTTGCAAAAATACAACATTAATTTTTGCTAAAAGTATTCTGTTTAATTTTAAGAAGTGAATGCCTCTGTAATGAAGGACATATTGTGTGGGGTAGCCAGACAACAGTTCCTAAATTGGAGTGGAAACCATAAGGGACTATACAGTAGGTTAAGCTGAAGTCAATATAAAAGTCTATATTTAAAGAAGAACTAAAGTCCTGCTTGCAAAATGCTAATAGCAGAGAAATGGTCAACAAATTCATCTTTCCATCATTTATTTGAGAGCTGAAAGGAATATGAGCTCTATATCAATATTTAAACTGTTACTGGGCATAATAATTGTTCTTTATTTTTATTAATAGGAGTTTAAATTCATGGAGCAGTCACGTTCACCATCCGTGTCACCTAGTAAGCAGCCTGCTTCAGCAATTTCTACAACAGTCACTTTATTTGAGCAATATTGTAACGGAGGAAACCCATTTGAAATTCAAGCCAATAATAAAGATGAGGAGACAGAAGATGTACTTGCTTCTAATGGGGTATGGAACTATTCATAAATAAGGAGTAAAACTAGCTCTGATTAAGTGAACATGACATACAGCATTTTTAAATGATCTGTTATCTTGTGCATCAGTGCAAATGTAGAATAACTGCAGTGAACCAATAGGTTACTTTGTTTTTAATGATCAAAACCAGAAAGCCAGGTTTCCTGTGGAAAACCAGATTTGTTTGTTTTGCAGTGGATCAATATTTTTCTTTCTAAGTCAGATGTTCCTGAAGACTAGCAAGCCATGCTCTGCTTAAAAAAGAAACACAAAAGTGCTAATTTATCATAAGGCAATTAGAACCAATTTACTTGACTTCCTTGGTAGAAGTACATTTGGCCTTGTTTAATTTTAGAAAGCTTGGTTAGCTCCTCTGCCTTGTTAAAAAAAAATATATTTTCTTTTATCATATTTATGTGAATTTTACCATGATTTCCAAAGGAAAATGTAATAATTATCAGGTACTTTTAAAATATTGTTTTCAAACGTTGAGGGTCATTCTGGAATGAGATTAATTCGTACAACATTTAGTATTTACTTTAAAGTTTATTGTTGTGATTTTCATCATGTTTTACATTTTAATTAAAAGAAAACTTGTTTATTTTATTTTCATATGGTTTGTATTATGCACTTACTATGAAGTTTCTAACATTTCTTGTTAAACACAATTTTGACTTAAAATACTTTTGTGCCACATACTACTTTCTCCCCAACTCCTTATTATAAAACCCATGTATAGTCTTGCTCATACTCTTCCTACCAGTTACAAACCTGGCAAGCTTAGATTTAACCATGCATTTCTGGTCTCCAAAAGAACAAAATGGAACTTTATTGGCGTTCTGGCATGTTGCTGACTTTCTGTTGTCCATCTGTTCTGTTCACTGATTGGTTGAACTTGCACCTCTTTGTGCCTTGTAGCTTATTGAACTGCCTGGTTAAATTTTATTTTTTTTCCCCCAAAGGCTTCAAATCTGAATTTTTGCTTCATCTGTTGGTTATAACTAAATATTTCTTTTAATAACCATATTGTTCCAATCTACAGCATAAATGCAGGGGATTTAAAATAATAAAAATAATAAAAAGTATACGTATATATGTATGTATACTTATAATATGTATACTTATATATGTATAATAAAAAGTATACATATATAAGTATGTATATATGTATATAAAATAATAAAAATAATAAAAAGTATACATGGAAAATCAATTATTTTGAAACAGTTAACTGTGAACCAGTTCAATGTGTGAACACCAAATACTCTGTGACACAAGTCTGGGATGCCTCCAGGTATCCCACACTGTATTGATCTTTAAGTTGCAACTTCCTCTCCATACCTCCCCCTTCCCCTCCCCCAACATGTATGCTTTAGGCAGATCTGGTATGTAGGCAGAACTTTACTGCCCATTTTTCCCCCGCTTTTGTTGGCACTTTTTACCAATGAGCTGTCTTTCACTTCTTGTTCAATAAAAACCTGTCTTTCTAATACCCAGTGGTACAGGTTTCCCTCTATTTATGCTGTACGTGCGTTCTCAGAAAGCAGTGCATAAATTGAATTAGCATAAAGTGAACCCACTTTACGATATAACAAATAGGGATAGGTTCCCATGGCAGTGAGGGAGTGAGGCACGGACTAGGAAAGGGGCGGGGGGAG